GAGGACTATTTGTATTTGATGGGAATATATTATTTTGGTTTTTCATGTTATTATTTTTTCTCTGTGACTTTGACAAGTGAATTTCTTTTGTAGTTTCTGATTCTTGTGTGAGACTCAAGCCTTCCTTTGTTGAGTTTAGATCTGCTTCTTTTTGTAAACTTTATGTGCCTTTGTGGTTTACTTGTTGGGCATGAAAAGTTGGTTGGTCTAGGCTTCAGGTTCTTTCTTTTGGTTTTATATTGGAGTGGCTAAATTGCTTTTGTCTTCAGGAGTTCCCACAGAGGCCCAAGTGAGATGAGGCTCAGATGTTCTCAGACTTTCTCTTAAGGTCTGGGTCCCTCCAGGAAAGATGCTGCCTTCAGGAATTTGGGGGCTGTGCTGGACTGGGAGTAGAGCCCAGGAAAGATGCTGGTCTCAGGAAGCTGGTGGCTGTGTCACCCAGGGATGCAAAGGGAGATGGAGGCCTGAAGAAGCCCAGAGGGCTCCTGGGGACTACTGAGAGGAACTGGGTTGGTCTGGATGCAAACAAGCAGGAAGCAGTGGTGGCTCTGGGCCGAGAGGTTGGCCCCGGTGTCTGGGGTGCCAACACAAGAAATGGGCCAGTATCCAGGCTAGGAGGAGAGACATGGCAGGGGAGCTGGGAGGGTACAATAGGCTGGGGGAGTCAAGGTGTGATGGGCATGCTGAACTTACCCAGGAAAGGTGCTGGCACCAGGACACTGGTGGCTGTGCAGCTCAGGAAGCAAAGGGAGGTGAGGATGGGACCAGGCCCAGAGGGCTCCTGGGGACTAGGAAAGGTGCTGGCACCAGGTTGCCTGGAGGCTGTGCAGCCCAGGGAAGTAAAGGGAGGTGAGGGCGGGACCAGTCCTAGAGGGTTCCTGGGGATCACAGAGAGGAACTGGGTTGGTCCAGATGCAAAGGATCAGGACACAGTGGTGGCTCTGGGCAGAGAGGTTAGCCCCAGTGTCTGGGGTGCCAAGACAAGAAATGGGCCTGTACCAAGGCTAGAAGGAGAGACGCTCAGTGCTGGCATCAGGATGCCTGGAGGCTGTGCAGCCCTGCCAAAGACTTTTTATGGCCTTTCATAACATTTTGTTTTCTTTACACAGAACTGCCATGCTTCTTGCTAGACTTATTATGAAACATTTTGCTATCTAGATTGAAATTTGATGGGAATTATTTTGAATAATTGAAAATGGCCAGGGATCAGAGCCCTCTTGTTACTTTGTCCTATATTGACTGAGTATCTGGCATCTGGCTGAACCTTCTTTATAACAGTTTGCTTGCTACTTTTCTGGACTTTTATGAGCAGGTAGGGAGTTTTAAATATTCCTTTCCAGCATTTGTACTGCCTTTTTGTTTTCTCATTTTTCATTGGCTGAACCTCCAGAAAAATATTTGATTGGGACAGCTGCATCTTTGCTTTCCTTGATATTCTTGAGAATATTTCTAGTATTTGTCCAATTAGCATGGTGTCTAGAAGACGTCTCTATAGACACCTGTTGTCAAGTTGCAGATTTCTGTTTTAATAAGGAATGGTTGCACAAATTGTTAAACACAGAGCTTTTTGCTGTCTTTTGTTGTTTTGGGCCCCACTGAGATGGGCCATATGATTTTGCAGCCTTGGAGATGATCATAGCGCATTTCTTTGTTAATCTGTTAATGTGCTTAACTGTATGAATGGATTTCCTAGTGCTGAGTTGTTCTTGCATTCCAGGGGAATAAGGTGGGGCCTGCTGGCCATGGGGTGCTGTTCTTTCAGAATTCCCTTAGGCTCAGTTTGTTACTATATTCTTCATGGGTTTTACATCATTCTAGCTTCACAAGCAGATTGACCTAAGGTGCCCTCTCTTGGTCTGGTTTTGGTGCTAGGATTGTGCCAGCTCTGTTAGAAAAGCTGGGGGAGGGGTCCACATTTTTCCCATGCTCTGAAAGTTAAGGAAGTGATAGAACTGGGCCATACAATCCCAAAAGAACCAGGAAGGGCAGCCAGGAGGTGGGGGTAGGGGGAGGAGAGAGAGAGAGAGAGAATCACCAAGTGGCTTTAGACCCATGGGCCATGAACAGTATCTAAATACTGCTGAGGACAAGACAATTTGTGAGGCTCAAAGAGCAGGGCAGGAGGCCCAGAAAGCAAAGCCTGGAGGTCAGGCACCTGAGGAAGAGGAATGAGGCAGCAATGGCACCCTGCAGGCAGGTTGGGTTAATCTAAGCTCCAAGGGTTTTTATTTTTAACTTATTTATTTTTATTTTATGTGTATGAGTGTTTTACCTGTAATGCCAGACAGAGAACTGGTTGTTAGCTGCTGTGTGGGTGCTGGGAACTGAACCTGGGTCCTCTGCAAGAGGAGCCAGTGTGCATAACTGCTGAACCATCTCTCCAGCCTCACTCCAAGGGTTTTTAAACAGAAGTATTATTTGACCACATCTGCAGATTTTCAGCATCATTCTTTATAGGCGTAAATTAGATTGACCCTTGAGCTATCCTGGAGATGACAATTTGGAGGTGGCTAGAATAGGGGTGGGGGCCCAGGACACAGGGTAATTTCAAAGACTCCTAGGCCTGTCTTCCTCATGGAGTCCCCCGAGAGGACAAACTTGGAGGGAGACTGACTGTGGGAAATAGGCCAGGGAGCTGTGAGCATAACGTTTAGTGTGAGGTATGTGTCTCTGAGCTGTGATGTGGGGAGTCAGCTCAGAAGGCAGGGCAAGGAGCAAGGACCAGCACTGGACCAGCACCATGATCAGGGTCAGAGGTGCCCTCTGGAGTTGTCAGATGATAACAGCTAAGAGCCAGAGAGAAGTTGCTTAGGTTTGAGACAAAAAGTGAGGAAGGCCTGAGGCCTGCAGAGAACCTTAAGGCAGATAACAATCACTTTGGATGCAAGAGGCCAGACCATGCAGGGTGTTGAGGATTTGCTTGACCAGGCAGAGAACTAGGATGGTGTATCAAAGGGGTGTCAGCAGAGTCCAAATCTTTTTGTGAGGCCACAGAGAGGACTGAAAATTGTGGTTTGTAGCAGCATGGAAATCAGAAAGTTCCCCAGACTTGCTCCTCACACAGCCCTCCATCCCTGTTGTTTGTTTTTGAGACATTCAGGGTCCTGCTGTTGCCTGAACTGGCCTTCAACTCCTGAGTTTAAAACAGCCCTCCTGCTTCAGCCTCCCCATGCTGGGACGTCAGGAACAGACCACTGTGCCCACCTAACCGCAGTGGCTCTGTCCTCTCACCTGCTCTGCTCCAATACCTTGCGGTTCCTTGGTTTGTCTGCATCAACCCTTTAGTACATTCACTCAGTTTTGATTTCAAACTCTCCCTGAAGTCAGGTCACTGCCCCACCAGGCCACAGTCACCACTGTGTCCCAGCAGTCATCACTCCATTGACACTCCCTGCTTTTCACTGGCCTCTGGCTAGTCCAGTCTAGGAACTGCATGGACCCTTTAAACTATCAATCAGAATGAGAAACAAAACCTCCATTCTTAGAATAGCTGAGGGGCACACCCAGACTCCCCCATTCTCCCCTCCAGCACTCCTTTCCAGCAGTGTACCCCCTGCCCTTCTTGGAACATTCCTGGTACACCCCCAAGTCAAGGCCTTTGCCTTGAGCATTGCATGTGGCTGAAAACTTTTCCCCCAAATTCCTGCACAGAGCGCTCCTTAAGTATGAACACACTTTCTTCTTTGAAGGTCCTGTTCAGAGACCTTCCCCACCTAAACTTAACCACTCCCAGACTGCTCACTGCTCCTTCCTTCCCTCCAGGACACCCACCAGTCTCCATCCTCCTGTTTATTTTATTGTTCAAAGGGGTCTCATTCCCCACAATGAGATCAGCTCCAAGAGGACAGGGACTGTCACCCGCTTTCATCACTGTGACCCAAGCACCTGTTGAAGGCTATGGTCAAAGCTCCAGATGCATGGACTGAATGATTGACAGGAATGTTGAGAGAGTTGGGGAGTGGAGGACTAGCCCTGCTTGGTAGGGATGTGCCGGGGAGGCAGACTCCCTGGTCATCTAAGTCAGGTTCCCAAAGGTCATGCCTCCACCCTCTGACCCTCCACAGGCAAGCTGGCCTCCTGGGGCAGGAAGCCACACCTAAGGTGGACAGAGCTAGACCTTGGGCTATGAGGTTCTGGAAGATTATCTTTTACTTATCTTCAGCCCATCTGTCCTGATCTTTCCTTGCCTCTAGCAGTAGGACTCCCTGTCTGTGCTGTCTGAGCCTCACTCTGCTAGTCTGCACACTAGGGGATACACAGGCCTAATGAAGCCACCTCAAGGAGGGCCCCCACAAAGATGACATGCTGAGCAGACTAGAGTGGATCTGGGGGGACTGCTGGATCTGCTGCATGCCCCTCATCCCATCTTCTACCTGGCACAGCAGTATAGCCGTCTGTGTCCTGCCCTGTACTTTAGAGGGGGAAGGCCCCACCCCTGAAATAAGATAACTAGCGCTCCCACACAGAATATGTGGAATGGACATGAAACTGGACACAGGACACACATAACAAGGGACACTGCTTCATTACCAAATCAATGGGGGAAAGCACACCTTGGTGGTTTGGAGGAGGGACCCTCATCCCACCCACAGTTTAGTCCTGGTTGCTCATCTTGCTGATACATGGACCCGTTGGGAGCCTGTTCATTGTCCAATAAGGAGTCTTGGGTAACAGTGCTGGAAGCTCTCACAGTGTGCCTTTCTGGGTCCCCCAAATCCTTGCCACATGGCTACCCTTCACAGCTACCACTTTCTCAAAGTAGATTTACTTCCAATCGCCATTTGCTAAATCTGTCTATAAACCCATGGGGGAGGGAGGGATTAAGCCTGCTTACAGATGTTATAGAAGCGGTCTGGTCTGGGCACACTGGGAGAGAGTGCCACAGAGGGTAGGAACCAGCCCAGCTCCTCTTGGGCTGTCCCAGGCACCAACCTCGCTCTAGGCTCCAAGCCCTGGTGCACAACCTGGTAAAGGGCAGCTGTGCATGTCTTGGCCTGCCAGGGGCTCCCACGCAGCTGGCTGGGCCTCACCGTGGGGAGATACACGAGCACCCATGGGGTCCCTGAGGAAGATGAGCAGCTCCTTCAAGCGTGGCTCACTGAAAAGCTCCACATCTGGGTCCCAAAAGGTGAGTGAACTTTGCCTGAGGCCTGAAGACAGAATAGCAGGGCTGAAGAACTGAGATCTCCACTCTGTGGAATGCTGTTCTAGAAGGGCTGATTTCCTCCTACTGAGAGAGAGAGAGAGAGAGAGAGAGAGAGAGAGAGAGAGAGAGAGAGAGCTCAAACATCAGACCCCCTTCTCAGGAGGTGACTCCATATTTCTTGCCCTATGCCTCATACCTGTTGTCTTAGCGCTCCCACCTCCAGTGTGCTACACTGGCACTTGTGGACCACATGCCCATGCGTGTGAGCCACAAGATCCCCTGTCTACATCACAGGGGACTGCACTCCTAAATCAGGAGTAAGGGGTCCTACATGGCTCACTTGCCCAGTGGAGACAGCGTTCTGCCCCCTGCTTTGCACTGAGACTCAGGATCCAAGATGAGTTCAGTGGGCCTCACCCTCAGGGCATGGAATGTACCAGAGGAAAGGGGACAGTCACATGCCTCTAGCAGGAGGGAGCACCAGAGTGGCCCTAAGTGTTCCTTGAGCCAGGTCAGGGGTTCCCAGGTCTTAAGCAGGCTGAGTGGAAGTGCCCCTTGCCCTTCTGTCAGAGCCACACGATAGTGTTGGCTTGGCTTACTGGTCTCCTGGGCCTGCTCTATCCAAGATGACCGAGCACCCAGGAGTGGGAAGCCCTAAGTACCTGGGGCTGTAAGCAGGGGTCTTTGGACCCAGGATGGGTCAATTCCTCACCCTGCCTTCCTCAGGTGGATCCCAAGCCAGGAAGGGGAGGCCTCTGCACACTAGGTGAGCCCCAGGGCTCAGAACACTGGCCCCATGGACAGTGGGGGAGAAGTGGAAGGAGTAGGCATGTGACCAGGAGGACACATCCCTGCAGGAACTCTTTCAGAGCACATGACGTGCCAGCCAGTGTCCTGGCACCTGCTGGGGACAAAAGCCCAGGTATCAGCATGAGCCAGGTAACCCTCTGGGGAGGGTTATTCACCTGGGTTGGACACAGGGTTGTCATCCAGGACCTGGTCAGGCTACAGCCTCCTGTTCAGAAACAGCTGGGCATGCGTCCAACCGGGTGTATGCCCATCTCTGACATTCCAGGGGCCTGAAAATGTATACAAAAAGACATAAAACTATTTCTTTTTAAATAGATAAAGCTTTTCCCTGTTTAGAGAATAGAGAAGATCCGTAGAGGGGAGGGGCTCCTTGTGGGTCCAGTAAGTTCGCCTCTCTGCTCTCCCAGGCATGTGAGAGTCAGCATTCTTTTCAGACAGCATGTACACCCACAGTGTCGTGTAAATTAACATTCACAAATCTACCACCACACTTGCCAGGAACAAGAGATTCGAATGCCACTAGCTGTGCAGCCTGCGCCCACGTGGCTGCAAGGCCCTCCTCCCCGAACCCACAGCTGGCTTGCACGGTGCCTGCTGATAAGCTTGGAGAGGAAGCAGGCTTTGTAGTTCTGGAGCTTGATGTTCCTATTGCCCTCTGCCTGATGGACAGTTCCCTCTCCCCCGAACCACAGCACAATGAACAGTCTGGGTGAGTGAATTTTAATAGAGGGAAGCAGGGAAGAGGCACTTTAAGTGTGGTCAAGATTGAGAACCAGTAACACACACACACACACACACACACACACACACACACACACACCCCTCCAGGACTGCACACTGAAAATTACTTCATGAGCAGTATGAGTCTCCCCATTCCAGGTGACCTCATCCCACGGTGATATATGGCAAATAAATCCCAACTGACCCAAGTCCTGCCAAAGCTCAGCCTAATCAGAGTCTCAGTGCTTAGTTTGACCCATGTCATGGTTACGACAGTCCTCAGGCCAAGAAATCAGATTACTGAAGGGAAAATGGAAGCTAGTACTGGGGATTTTTAAATTTTGTTTTGCTTTACAGAGGGTCTTACTCTGTAGCTCAGGCTAGCCTTGAACTCATAACAATCCTCCTGCCTGAGGTCTCCTGAATGCTTGGATTACAGGGGTGAGCCACTATGCCCACTAAACCTAAAGAGTTTTAATAAAGTTATTCTTAAGGGGACAATGAGAAACAAGTTCAAGGGCATAGAGTGGCCTGTTCCCTTCTGTTTTCTAGCATGCTTGAACCTCCTTTGACCTCAGGAACTTGGGGCCAGTACTCGACTGACTCCCAGCTGAAAGCCAGAGGTGTTTACTGAAATACATCAGCTGCCCTGGAAGAAACACAAAGCTGTGTACAGCCTTCCACTGGTCATTCTCTTCAGGCCCTTTCTTTGTAAATGGCACATTTGGCTTTTAGTCCCTGTCTAGTTCTTCTCACTAGGAACCTCTTCTCTTGGTCTTAGACACCCCAGCCCCAGGCATGACCAGCCATCTGGGCCCCCTGAGTCCCACCCCCAGCAGGCTGTGTACTGGGAGCTCTGCCAACAAACAGAGTCCCTCTTCCAGGAAAAGCACCCAAGTGAGTGGTCAAGTGAGATGGAAATGGAGGTCCTTGTCCAGCTTTCAGATCTCTCTACATTTTACTTTGCTAAAAGATGCATATAAAGTTTGGAGTTGAAACTCAAGGTCCTGAACAAACTTAAATGATAGTACAACCCAGCCATTGTACTTTAGTTCCTGTCTTAGAAAATTCCAGCATATATGCTCAAGGAAATGTGTAAAACTGCTCACAGCAGCATTGAACACTGCAGCATTGAATACTTAAAGGGTGTAGGGCCGCTTCTGCACCCCCTGAAACAAGGGAATGCTGTACAGCACTTAAAATGAATAAGCGAAGGGCTGGGCGTGGTGGTGCAAGCCTTTAATCCTCACATTTGGAAGGCAGAAACAGATGGATCTCTGTGAGATCAAGGCCAGCCTGGTCTCCACAGCAAGTTCCAGGCCAGCTGTGGCTCATGGAGACCTTGACTCAAAAAGACGAAAACAAAAAACAAAAACACAAGGAAATTCTAAATAATGACATGAATTTCTTCAGGATAGAGGTGTGGGCTCCACCTATAATCTTTCCTTTCCTTTCCCTTTTTTCCTCTTAACGGTGCTGATATAATAGTCTTCCTTCTCTTCCCTTTTCTGCTTTTCTTTTCCCCTTCTTCTCCTCCCTCCCCCTTCCTTCCTCTCTTCACTTCCTTCTTTTAGAGAGTAAGCTTGATGCTCCTAAGAAAAGCCCTTCCATCTGTGACAGGGTCTTATCTGCCGATTATATTATCCTGCCTATGGTTTTGAAATCAAAGGGATGCCTTCACAATCTACATGTGCTTTCATCTTCTTCAAGTAAGCTTTACACAGCATGAACTCCTCGGTGGGGTTACTCTGCCCCCAGCCTCAGGTCCAGCAGAGCAGGGAAAGGACCTCACATGGCCAGGTTGATGTCCACATTTCCTTCTCTTCCTCAAATGTGCTTTGCCAGCCCCAGAGCCACACACAGTGATACAGACATGCCCCCAGCTCAAGGGAACAAGAGCCCTCACCTTAGTAACCAGGCAGGATGATTGGACCTGGCCCCCCTCAGGCCACAGCCAGCCAACCTCACTTCTCAGAGGGTGTGGCTGGAATCCAGGGGATCCCAGAATTCCACATTAATCTACAGTTCGGAGGAGGGACCGTAGCCCCTCTGTTCGGGGGCTTTACAAAGGCTTTGAGAGCATCTGACCCCATCACATCCTTCCCCTGGCCCTGGGGCTTCATCATCTCCTCAAGCTGTCTGCAGGCAGGCCCCTGCCTCAGTTGTCCTGGTCACAGACACTGGCTAAGAGTGGCAGCCCATGATGCAGTTCCACATAATCCCTCATCCTCTCCCCACCCCTTAGGGAAGGGAGAGTTACTTCTTTTGCAAGCTGAAGGAGGCTCCCAGAGGCTGGGTGGCTTGTCCAAGGGGCCTCAACCCTGGCTCAACCTTCCCCACACCCCTGCAGTTACCAGGGCGGTGACACTGGGCTGCTAAGGACACCTTATGTGTCAGTTCCTGGGAAAATCCTTCGTGGGGTTGTGCCAAGCCCTAGCCTCTATGTGAATGCAGAACTCTGAAAGGCCACTTCAGCCCCAGGAAGTGGTAGACCCCAGATATTACCTACACCTGAGCAACCTTCCCCAGAGCCCAAGTGAAGCTGACAGTGGCCTTGAGTTGGGTTGGGTCCCTGAGCTTATGAACAGGCCAGCTGACCACCAATTGTCCCTTCAGTCACTGGAACAACAGGTGCCCCAGGGAAGCCTGCCTAGCCCACTCTGATGCTGACTAGGGTCACCTCTACCTGCCAGGTAGCTCTGATTCCACATCTCATCTCTCAGGCTTCTTGCTCTTCTTTACCCCTACGTTCAGTCCAGGGGCAGTCCATGGTCCCTCACCCCAAGGAACCATGGGCTCAGGCATGAAGGAGGGCCAGATGGTCAGGGCATTCATCCCATGGGCATATGCCCCAGAGTGGAAGACAATGATTAGAGTTGACACTATGTGGGAAGCCAGAGGCGGGGACTGTCCCAGTGGGGGACAGAAGGACTGGACAAGGACAGGGCACAGCTGGAACACTGGCAATGGGATGAACAGGTGTGCAGTGGGAGAACACCATGTGGCAGGCCAGGGCTGAGGAGTGTTCCCAGACTAAACTGTGCAGGCAGCTGTCCCCAGCCAAACCCTGGTCTGGGCCCTGACACCTGTTGATTTGCCACCAGAGCCTGGAGACCTTTGATGGGTACATGTTGGACTGAGGGGCTATGTGAGTCTGATAGAACAGTTTGTTTAGTTGGCCTGATATGAGGGGGAGGGCCTGAGGCTGTAGTAAAAACTGCTGATGAATTGTGGGACTAGTCCTAAGTAACTGAGGTATCTTCTGATCAATATCACACAGAGGCTCCCTCACAGCCTAAACCAAATATACCCTGGAAACTCTATCTCCAGAGTGACTCAGCCCCAAACCAGTGGAATCAAAGAACCCTATGGGAGGTCTACCAAGCACATCAGGACACAAAAGGCTCTGATAAGTCCTGCAGGGATGAAAACTCCATTCAACCTAGAGTTCC